GGTTCCGCAACTGCCACTCTCTCTCCAAAGGGATAACTAGAGCCAGGGAAGTCTCCTCAGCCAGACGTGCTCAGAGAGGCGGTAGGTCACGAGTTTGGAAACGCGTCCGTGGAACAATGGCTTTTAGACACGTAACGTCTTGAATTCAGGAGATAAACGAGAACATGGGAACAGCATGCTCAGCGAGAGCCCAAGGTGCTGCTGCCGCTGTAACTGCGCCGAGAACTTCAGCGGTGACGAGCTGTGCTTGGCAGGAAACTGAACTGGTACCTGTTACCATAGCTACAAAGGTTGTACTTATTCGCAGAGTTTAAAATGCCATTATTACCCAGCGATAAAGTCCTTAAAATAAACCTGCAGTGTCATAAAGACAGGTGTAAAAGCAGTTTTCCTCCCTTAATTACGCATCACCCAGGGCACAGCCTCCACAGGGCAAAATTCCTCTTTCCAGCCAAGTGGGCAGGTCTTCTAGGTCCTGCGTGAGCTGCCAAACGTGGCTTTGACGCTCAGTTTAGGGGGATCTCCAAAGAAACAAAATGAAGCCACCCTTTTCCCTCAACCCGTCTTCCCTCAGCCCAGACTCCAGCTTCTCCCAGCGAACAGTCTTCCCTTAGGTCGGGATGAAAGTCCCCCTCCGCCTCTATGTGCAGAGCTTTGCCCTGCAGAGGCAGCATCCTCAGAGACACTGCAGCCAGCAGGTCGGGTGGAGGCCCTGCCCTGCAGAGACCATTCATGACCTGGGTTCTAACCCTGACTCTACCACCTAATAAATGCCGTTCTTGTTTTATACTTCCGCCCTTTCGGGCTTTGGCTTTTCTCTGCACAGTGGAGAGACGATACCTAGGACGCGGGCGCTGACACTCAGACACCGCGGAAGACCTGACACAGTCGTCCTCAGGCCTCCTGTTCGCCCTCTGAGCCGGTGGCCCGGCACCCGCTTTTCTTCCCTTCTGTGTGGTCCTCGGAGCCCTACCAGGCTGGAGCCCGAGACAAGCTTCCAGGTCATGACACTACCGTACTGCAGACCAGGGAGCCCAGACGTGGCCCCTGGCCAGCCGAGGGTGTGTGAGCTGCTCGGGAAGTGTGTTGTAAGACATTCGCTTCTGAGCGGGGACTCGGAGAGAAGCCAGAGAGACCCTGGGGCAGGCCAGTCTCTGACGGGAATCTGGACCGGCCTCCGTCTCCCATGGTCACGTTTTAGAGAATCAGCAATTCGATGTCTAGCTTTCAACTTGTTGGTAGTTCTCCGACAGAACCGACTTCTGTGCGAGATTCGTGTCAGGAGACGAGCTCTCACTGCTTCCGGGGGTGTCGATGGTACGTGCTGACCCGCACCAGCGAGCCTGCGAGCGCGGCAGTGAGACACCAAGGACACCCCTGCTCCCCGCTGGCTGAGAAACCTGCTGGCTCCTTCTCTGCCTTGTGGAAAGGCTGCACTGCACAACAGTGAGTTAAAGCTTCCGTGGCTGCTTTTGTTTCATAATGGCTTTACCACGACAGCACTTTTACACAAGTGTGGCAGTTTTCAGCCACAGACTCGTGGTGCCTAGTGTGCTCATGGAGTTGTGCAGCCCTCATGACCTGATGTTAGCGCGTGCTCCTACTCACAGTCCGAAGACGGGAAGCCCGGCCCGCTGGCGCGTGGTGCTGGGAGGGCTGGATCTTACACGGCGGCATCTGCACAGTTGGAGTTGTGGTCCTGGGGGCATGCGTGCCCAAATTCCTGAGGGGAGTGGAGGAGAAGGGATTGCAGCGTGGCCACCCTCCTAGGGGATGAGTTCTCCTTTCCCCCTCTCTCTTTTTCCCTCTCTCTGTCTCTCTGCAGCAAGAACAGACTTCCTTGAGCAAAAACTAAAACTTAAAAAATAGGAAGGAAAAAAACTTGGAGCCCTGAGCACTATCCTCCATCCCTCCCACCTTCCCGCCTCCAGCCCCTGGAGCCCTGAGCACTAGCCTCCATCCCACCCTCCCGCCTCCAGCCCCCGACTAGCCTCCATCCCCCCCTCCCCCCTCCAGCCCCCGGAGCCCTGAGCACTAGCCTCCATCCCACCCTCCCGCCTCCAGCCCCCGGAGCCCTGAGCACTAGCCTCCATACCCGCTGGCCTCCAGCCCCTGGTGACCTCTAATTTGCATTTCCCTCTGTGGTTTTGCTGAAGGGCTGGGGCAGGGGGGAGTTCGCTATACAATCTGGTTGTCTATGATGGCCCCTTTCCCTTGGCGTGGGGGTCCTGGAGCCACCCTGCTGCAGCCAGCCAGCGGCCCGTCCTTTGCTCTGCTGGACAGCACTTGCTGGGCTGCATTTCGTCCATCTGCCCGTCGTCACGGACTGGTGCGAGTGGCCGGAGTTGCGCTGCTGGGCCCCAGTGCCAGGCTTCGCACAGCCATAGGTCTCTTGGCCAACACCAGGTGCGGCCCATACCAGGTCTCTGAAACAGCCCAAACTCAGTAGTGACATCTGAACTCTGGAGATGGCTGTGCTACAAGGTGGCACGTGCAGATCGTCTGAGTTATCCCCGTGACCCAGCACTGCTGCTAACAGGCTCACCTGGAGGGTCTCCAGGACTGCGGAGGCCGGCGTGCGGTGCGGGCGCCTCCACAGCAGGCCTGCCGGCAAGTGTCCAGCAGCCTGATCTGATTCAGACAGCCACCGCCAAGACGGGTCAGTTAATTCAGCCATCCGTCGGCGCTAATGTAATATTCGCAGGGCACGTAGGGACGTGGGGCGGGGCCCGCCGTCCACACTCTGTCAGTTCACCACGTCACCAGCCCTCTCTAACCTGCGCCGTGTCCCTTTCCTAATGGCAAAGAACAAGCAGTCGCCCCGGACACGCAGGCCACTTACTTCGGAGACCACCTCTGTGGTCTGACAGAGGGCCGTCAAGATCACAGCCGTCCCCGTACCTCGAGAGCTAGATCTGCTGCCACATGGGGCGTCTCACACATATTTTCATACAGGCACACACGCACACACATCCACACACGCACAGCATACAATAAACCAAAACCTTCTAATCATCATAATGATGGTTATTGAGGGAACAAACATGTCCATTTCCTAGACGTAAATCTATTTGAAAAGAATAATGGTCTTTTTAGGGAACCAGCAGTTAGCGTAATGGCTATGTCGCTGGACTCCCATGTAGTCGACCGTGGTTCGCATCCTGGACCCGGCGGCTTAAAACTCACGCCGGGTGCGTGTGCGTGCGTGCCCAAGATCCCAAGAGGAGAATGGAGGAGAAGGGATTGCGGCGTGGCCATCCCCTCTCGGGGGTGATTTCTCGGTTTTTGTCTCTCTGTCTCTCTCTGTCTGTCTGGCGAGTGCACGCGCCCTATAGCAAAAACCTCTCCCAAAAAAATGGTCTTTTTAAAAAAAGTTTTTTTGAGAGATTTCTGCTATAGGGCATGTGTGCTCACCAAAGAGTCAGAAAGTGAGAAATCACCCCCTGGGGGGATGACCACTCCACAGTCCCTTCTCTTCCATTCTCCTCTCGGGATTTTGAGCACACAAGAACACATGCCCAGCATGAATTTTAAGTTGCTGGGTCTGGGACTTGAACCGTGGTCAACTACGTGAGACTCCAGTGATGTAACCATTATGCCATCTGCTGGTTCTAATATGGCCTTTCTTAAGTGAAGAGGTTTATTTGTTTATTTTTCTCCTCTCAAAATGAAGTTCATTTTCTTCTAGTACTTAAGACCTAACGTTATTACCCATCAGGTGGTTATGGGAACTGGGGAGGGGCCTCTCGCTGGATGAGAGGGTGGGCCTGCCGGTCCTCCTGGCTGAAGAGGGAGCTGGGCAGGGCAGGTCCCAGTCAGGTGGAGCTGACAGCAGCCCCCAGAAAGGGGCCTCCATGGAGGGACCGAGGCAGGGACCCAGCACCTGCCGTGAAGATCAGGAGGGCCCGCTAGGGACAGTGGCCTGCAAGCTGGTTCTGGGTGCCAGGAGGATGGCGTGACAGGCCCCAGACTCAGGAGTCTGGCAAAGGAAGCAGACGCTGGTGGCCCAGAGGGTGGACGCTGGACGCCAGGGCAGAGAGTGGAGGTCAGGGCGGGTCGAAGCTTGGAGGGCAATCTGAGATGAGCTCAGTCTCAGGCCCATTGACGTGGGCAAGCCCGGGGGCCCTGAGCATGCCCTAGCCCATGTCCGCCCTGGGGTCTCGGAGGACAGTGTGGGTGACAGGCGTGGTGGCCGTACGCCCAGGATGAGGCTGCTGAGTGACCAGCAGGGGCATGCGGACAGCCCGGAGAGCGGCCCAGGGTGGAAGTGAGCAGGCCGTGGGCCTCCTCACTGGTGAGGCCCCCACCAGCTGCCCCTCCTGTGGGCTACGCCACACTGGGTCCCCGAGCACCTGCAGGGGCACGTGGGACAGAACCTGTCCTAGGGCAGGCCCTGGGAATGCTCGGGCTCTGGAGCCGGGTGGCTTGGCCGTGTAAACCAGCCGAGTGCGCTGCCTTCGGGAATGGCGGGGTAGTCAGCGGGCAGACGTGTGTCCTGGGGGAAGCGGGGCTGGCATGTCCTGCAGGGAAGCGGGTGGGCCCAGAGGTGCAGACACAGGGATTCCACGGTGTGTGTAGAGCCGCGAGGGAAGACCCAGTAGGGCTCCACACTGAGCAGGGCAGCGGTGACGGCTCGCCCCGGCATCTGGGCTCTCTCAAGGCAGCCTGACTCCCACACACCCTGCACGCTCCCCCACCCGACCCCGGGCCCGCCCGGGAAGCACTTGGGAACCTGAGTACTCACACCCCGACTGCGAGTGGGACATTTACCCGTGCGGACACGAGCTGCACAGAAAGGCCAGTCCCTGCGACGGCAGCCTGCACCGCATGGGGGCTTGCAGAGCCCCTGCTCAGGTGGGATCTTGCGGCCCACGGCAGCCCCGCTGCGTGCACGACACTGGCTTGGGCCCCATGGTGCCTGGCCGGAGCCCTGGGCGACTAAGGCGTCCAGTTACAGCTTTAGGTACCGCATGACCGGGACTCCCGGGACGTCACGCCAGGTTGACTGCGACAACATGGAGAACAGCCGGGAGGTGGAAGGAAACCGCCCACACTGTGACTTCTCACACTTGTGTCCACGACGTAGACATGTAGGCTTCCCACTTGTGATCATGCTCTGCGAGGTCAAGTTCACGCGTCTACCCCTGCCCGGTGAAGACAGGACTGCTCACCTTGCTCAATCGGATGCCCTGGGAGAGGTGAGCGATGTCAGGTGATCTGACCTCGGTGCGCACCTCAAAATGCTTCCCAGAGGCAAGCAAATTCGCACGAGGTCAGCACACGGCAACGCACATCCGTGAGGAGTGAGGCGGTGACCAGGTCGTGGGGAGGTACCGAGGCCGCGCTACGATGGTGTCCCAGAGCACCGCCGCGGCCCCTTACCGAAGTCCTGCCTCGCCTCCTCCTAGCCCGTGCACCTTGCTTGCTCACCGAGAAGTCTGTAAGGGTCTCACTGAGTACCCCCTCACTTGGAGAGCTTTTAAGTCCTTTTACCCTTAAAAACAGCGGTGGCTGGCCCTGGCTGGCACCGCGCTGGCACCGCGCGGCAGCTCCTCGCGGCCGACTGCCGTTCTGACAAGCAGACATTGTGTGAGGAGCCCCTGACTGCACGGCCGCCCCACGGACATTCGACCCCATTGTTCCTGCGGCCTCCAGGGCCAGCGGCTGCTGCACACAGATCGCGACTGTCCCTGTGGAGGAACCTAAGAATAGCCCGCTTACTGCAGCGCCGGCTGAGTGGGGCCAGGGGCCTCGCACTTCGCAAGCACCAGGTTACCCCTCCCTGCCAAATGCAGTGTGAGGGCCTCCGGGCTCCAGGCAGCCTTCTCTGGCCAGGGAGGACCGTGGTGGTCCTTGAGTAGTGTTAGAAAGCAGGTGAGCGTCTGGGTGCCAAGGTAACACTTGGCGCCGTGCTCGAGCTAGGGGGGCACGTCAGCACACTTTGGGATGCCCTTTGCCTGCTCCCAGGTGGGCGATGCCCTGGCAAGGTGGCCCGGGCAAGGGCCGGCCTCCAGGGAGACTGAGGACGGGAACTCGCTTTCAGCACCTCCCTCTCTAACTCAGAGCAGTGGTGGGTAGGGGGTGGCGATGCCAGTGCTCAGGAAGCAGGGTCTCCAGGGAGCTGAGACAGGTGCAGCGTCCCACCCTGCCGTGGACACTGCTCTCCTCTCCCCGGGGCAGAGCCCCGGTCTGACCTGTTTCTGGCCATGCCGGGGTGACTGGAAGCTTCCGGGGTCTGGCTGCTCCCAGGGGTAATATAGGGTCTGCTCCACGGACCTCGTGGGATTCAGGCAGGTCTCCCATTGGGAATTCTTCCCAAACACTTTTTATTTGATTACTTACCAATCAAACTTTAGAACTGGAAGGGGGGGATGAAACAGTAAATGAGAAGCTTCTGAAGTTCGGTTTTTAAAGAAGCAGCAGACACATGCACTGTGAGGGCAGATGCACGTTCGCGTGGGTAACTTGGCCATGAACCACATGGAGGGGCTCCCGGATGACCAGGAATGGCTCTGGGTCACCCTCTGCCGGGGCTTCAGTGCCCCACCCTCGTCCTGCCCAGGAGGCTCTGCTTAGTGATCTGGGGTGGGCCTGGCGCTGGTGGACTTTGAAGGCGCCCAGACTCAGCATGTGCAGCCGAGATCGGCCCCCACTGCTGTGGCCTTTAGGGTCCCGTCTGTTAGGTGTGCACAGGCTGCATGGGAGGACCGTGGTTCCCCAACCTGAGGTGCTCAGGGTCAGAGTCACCCAGGGGACTGCTGGGTCCATACAGGGGCCCTGGGGGAGAAGGGGGAAGAGGGGAGGGACGAGAACTGTATTTTTGGCAAGTTCCTGGGGGCACATATCTGAAGCTGCTTAGACCCCTCTCCTCTGCAACCCCCAAAGCTTCACCACAGCCAGATCTTGGAAATCATCTTTATAAACAGCTCTGGGGCCCGCGCGTCCCCCACTTCCATCAGTGTGGCCCTGACTGGGTCACTGTCCTCTGGGCCATGCCAGCGTGGCCCAGGAGCCTCTTGCTGGTCTCCAGGCTTAAGCCCCACAGGGGACCCTCACACCTTTAGGATAAAGTACCCCCAGTCTGCACTAGCTGAGCATGGGCTGAATGGATGGGTGGGCAGGGAGATGGGAGTGAGTGGTGGGTGGGCAGTGGGGATGGGGGTGGATAAACAGTGGGTGATGGGGTGGGTGGGTGGTGGAAGGTGGGTGGATAAACAGTGGGTGATGGGGTGGGTGGTGGTAGGTGGTGGATAAATAGGGAGTGGTGGGTGGCAGAAACCGTGCAGGACCTTACTCCCGGCCCCAGGGCCCCCAGGCTGGCTCTGTGAACGCCATAACTGCAGCAACAGCAGCACGATCCTTACCGAGCGCTTCCTCGCCCAGAAGTGGGGGTGCTCCCCGGCGTGCACTGCACACGCTCGTCAGGGCAGGGCTGGGGGGAGCCTGACCAGCTGGTAACTTGGCAGGTGGGCAGCCAGGCCTCGGGGAGACCCGTTCCGTGTCCAAGGGCACAGGGAGGTGGCGGAGTCGAGGGCTCAGCCAGCTCTGTTTGGCTCTAGACCTTCGGTGGAGGGGTCTAAATTCGGTTTACGACAGCTGGTATGGACCGAGCTCCTGCGGTGCAGAGCTGCCCAGAGCACCCCGACAGAGCGATCACAGGCACTTACACCCCACCAGGGCGATTCCCGGCATTTCCTGTAAGGCTGCTTTCCTGAGGGTCGTTCGACCACCCGGGGGCTATTCCTTGTTGGCACAGGGTGACCTCGAGAGCCCCCAGGTGCACCACGTGGACAGCTGTCTGCGGGCTGGCGCTTTCTTCAAGCTCATATCTCCACCCTGGTGCTGTGGGCGGTCGCCGCCCTTGTGTGATACAGAACTCAAGCCTTCTAAGTGCAGCCTCAGTGGTCACGGACGTGCGTGGCCAGGCCAGGGGAGCAGGTTCAGACCCCACCCAATGCCCCAGAGCACACGGTGACTCTCCCGTGACCCTTCCCTGCCATGGGAGGGCCCCAAGGGTGAGCTATTTAAAGCAGATAAAAACTGCGTGTCCCATGCACACAAAGGAGGCATTCGTGCGAGCTGGTGGGTTGATGAGATTCGTTCGTGAGGAAGTTCCAAGAGAGCTCTGCGGGCAGCCTGGCGGGCGGCCACATGCCGCTCATAGATGCAGAATTGCTGCCATAGCGAGGCTACGGGCCACAGCAGGGCCTTTTTGTTTTCCTCGCCCTCCCTGGTGACCCTGAGCACAGCACGCCAGTGACAGAAGTATTCCACAAACAAGGAGCGTCCTCTTCTGCGCTGGCCTACACTTCCAAATTCCACAGCTCCCTGCAAGGCGCGGCCCCGAGAGGGCCCGGGTGGCGGCAGGCGTGCAGGTGCCCGTTGTCCCTTCTGCTCCGGTTCGGATCAGGCCTGCGGCCCCTGGCCTTCCCAGCCACGCACTCACGGTTGTTGTTTCTGCTTGAGGTGCCTGTCCCAGGAGCTGAGGTCGGAGGTCAGACTCGTCGCATGTGCGAACCTGGCTGTTCTTATCCTCCAGGTGCGGCTTATCCTTGTTCAGAACCAGGGGCGGGGGGGGGGCGAAGGTGGCTCTCCAACAGGCGTGCTCTGCAGCCAGGGCCTGGCGTGTCGTGCAGCCAGCTGGGAAGGCGTGACCTGGGACCCATCATGTTTCCTCTGGGCCCATCAGAGCCATCAAGCTGCACGCTGGGTGCCTCCCCCTGCAGCCAGGGACTGGCCGTTGGTAAGGGCCACTGGTCAGTGCTTTGTTCCGTAGCTTGTCACATCCGATGGGACAGGACGTTCTGCCCGATAGCGTATGCCAGCACACCGAGCGGAAGGACTGCACGCACGCAGAAGGTCCCTGGAAATCATGTTCAGGGAGTGGATGGCCCATTTCACACCTTCCTCAAGCACTTCTGGCCTGGTCACAGGCCTGGACACAGGGAGCCATCCCTGCCTCCTTCTGGTTGGCCCTCCTTAAGTTTCCCTGAAACGTGTCCCTGTGGGGTGGTCGGAGGATGCGTCTGTAGATGGGAGCCTGTGCTCTGGCAGCTGGCAGGCAGGCCTGGCCCTGCACGGACACCGCAGCCACTGGGCCTGCAGGCAGACAGGCATGGACCCCCAGGGTAAGGCAGGCAGGCATGGACCCCAGGGGCCGGCAGGCAGGCAAGCAGGCAGACACAGACCCCAGGGGAAGGCAGGCAGGCAAGCAGGCAGACACAGACCCCAGGGGAAGGCAGGCAGGCAAGCAGGCAGACACGGACCCCAGGGGAAGGCAGGCAGGCAGGTCACAGCCCTATGGCCTATTTGCGTGTCTGCGAACAGAAATCAGGAAGCGCACTGGAGGAAAGGCCTCCTGGTCTCAGCTCGCTTCCACTGGCGGGAGGATGTCTCCGAGCTGCTGTGATGGATTCTTACCTACGGCAGCTTCGCAGACAAGCAGATAGGCGCCAGCACCAGCTCGAGGACACGCTAGACAGCTGTTGTCACATGTGACACGCTGGGAGTGTCGCCCAATGCGACGTGCCACTGCACTCGCTCACCAAGTGCTGCTCACGTGTAGGTACATTTGCACATGCGGTTCTCGTGAGTCACTGCGGAACACGGATGCAGTGGGACCGTGTGAGGAGCGTGCTCTGGGAAGGAAAGAGGTCTGACTCCGATGTGCTCACGGGCGTCCTAGCTGTGTGGAGACAGCCCTGCACGAGCTCCGCCTTGCGTCATCTCCTGGTCTCAGCAGGTGACGGGCAGGCCAGTCTGCACCATCACAGGCTGCTGCACTGCAGCCTCTGTGACTGCAGGGGACTCTGAGACGGATGGGCGTCAGAGTGGCCACATGACACCCAGGGTCCTGAACTCGGGTTTCGCTGTGTTTGACGGTCACTGACGTGTTCTGCCAGGGACGACCCGGCAGTAAGTCAGGGCGAGGTTGCAGCCCACACAAGTGGGCAAGGGCTACAGCTGTCAGGGACCTGCCGTGTGTGGCCCGAGTGTGCTTGGTGTCTGTCGCTGGTGGGTGAAGGCTGCTGAGGTCCAGCTCGTGACAGGTGCCTGTGCCAGGTGTGCCAGCAGCCATGGTCCAGAAAGGGGCTGGCCGTCAGGTCCCAGAGGTTGGGTTTTACCTGGGAGACAGAGCAGTGGTAGTTAAAGCCAGGTTGGGCTAGAGGAGGGCCAGGAAGGAGTCTGCCAGAGGTGGGGTGGAACTGGGGGGTGGCCTGGGATGGCCGTCCATTCTGCCTCGCTGCTAAGTCTATTTCCTCCTGTAAATGCAGGGACTGGTGACACTCCCTGCCTCAAGGGTGATGAGAATGGGGCGGACACCCAGCAAAGTGCTGTGGGCATGCCCAGCCAGGACTTCCCTGAGGCTCTGTGGCGTGGCACTCCCATGGCGGCAGTAGTGGTACAACCACATACCAGATCGCCACGTGCTACTGCTAAAAGGGCCTGCGACACCGAGGTCAGAATCCTGTGCTTTCCCATTTCAGGCTGCAGAAACTCCGCATGCAGCCAGGCTCAGCCGCTGCTCAGGAGGCCCTGGCTGAAGGCTGCGGGCTGAGGGCTGAGGTCTGCAGGCTGTGGTCTGCGGGCTGCGGGCTGCGGGCTGCGGGCTGAGGGCTGAGGGCTGAGGGCAGAGGGCAGAGGCAGCTAGGCCCTTCCCTGCAGCTCTCTCAGACTCTGGCCCACTTCGGCCCACATGGAGACCTCCCCCAGCTCTGTGCCGCGGCCGTCCTGTCACCAGGTTGTCACCACGTGTCTGGTCGCTCCTTGCAGACCCCAGACGTGCTCCTGGAGGAAGGGCTGTGCACGTCGGCCCTCCCGGCACTGTGTGTGACACGGACGACACACCAGCTACATTGGGACGTGTTTGTGACAGGAGAGCGCTGGAGTGAAATGCTTGAGTCTGAACTGAGCCTCCAGGAAGGTCAAGTTACACACGGGAGTTAACTTCTCAATCAGCACTACTTAGATCATCTGAGAAGAGTCGGGACCTAAGGAAATCCTCAGTGGACCTCAGGCCGCTGAGCTGGGTCGGCTGGTGGGGAGGTGAGGCCTGGTCGCGGCCCTGGTGAGAACTCTGCCCTGGGGAAGGCAGGCGGGCAGCCGTAAACCTTCACGTGGCCCGCCC